CGCTGTTAGAGGAGAAGTTCATTAAAAACCAGAGGATTTAGTGAGGAAAGATCAGTCGGGATCAGAGCTGGAGCTGCTGTTCTTCAGTCTGTTTCCCAGCTCAGCTTCTCCATGTCGGTATTTAGCTATAAAGATGCTACTTAATATTATTTTGTTAACTTAATAAAATAATAATTATTTTATTAACTTAATAAAATAATAATTATTTTTAACTTATTTTATTAAGTTAATAATTATTTTATTAACTTAATAAAATAATAATTATTTTATTAACTTAATATACTTTGTAGAACGGCACTTTATAAAGTTCGATCCATTCACTTGTATTGCCTTACTGGCACATATTCCGCATTCAATATGGCGGACGCTGTTACGTATCGCAGCAACGCAAGTACACCTCGCTGCAGCAAACAGAAAGGGGCGGGGACGGACCACTGTCAGCCTCATACCTTATTTGGAAATGGGACCATTGCAATCCGGAACTGAAGGGGGCGCTAGTGGCGCTATTTCCTGTACCAGCCGCGTTATTGTAATAATAATAATAATAATATTCATAATAATGCATTGTATTTGACAGCGCCTTTCAAAACACCCAAGGACACTTTGCAACATCATAAACATGAATGAAACAGTAAAGAAATTACTACAAGACGTGTTATTTCACGTGATATGTATGTCACGTGGTATGTCCCTTTTAAAAAAATTATTAATTAAAACTATTGTTCTTGAATGTTAAAATTATAGTAATAAACAACTTAAAACAAGCAACGATAAAGAATTATTATGTATATGTATTTATCTATTCTCACCCGATCTATCTGAAACAAAAGGCTTAAAAAATAAATGAAATTAATATTTTAAAGACAAATGTACATTACATTAGGAACACATTTATCCATCCATTAATTATCATACATGCACGTTTATCCCTATAGTGGGTTCGTGAATGCTGCTGCGGTGGACCCTGGGCAGATCACCAGTCCATCCTATAGAAAACAGATACCAAATACTTTAAGAACGCTGGAGTTCAATTAATATATTGTGATGTAGTGAAAAGTACCCTTAAAATAAATAAGTTTAAATCTAAAATATAACTAGTGCCATTCCAAGAACTATAATATTCTTGGTTGCAGGTGAGCTCAACTATTATCATTGTTTACCATAATGCATTTGATTCATAAACTGCGCTCAAATATCCAATTATTGGAAAACCCAAAGGGATTCATGTAAAACTTTATATGTAGCTTCAACCTGGAAACACTCACACAGAGAGATAGTAGGTTTTAGAAAGTTTATTTGACAAGAGAATGATCCACTGTGGATGAATTATTTTGTTTCTATATGAAATTCTAACGAATCTTCAATTCAGCAAATCAGCTCATCATGCGCCTCCGTCCCAGCCTATAGGCACTGGTCTCATCTCCTTACATTACCCTTCATAAAGTCCAGCTTGATGTATACAACTGCTCCTCACCTGAGTTTCCATCACCTCCACCTGGTCTCCACCATCGTTCAGCATACCTTTAATCTTTGTTTTATGGCATATTTGTAACTGAACATGTTTCTGTATTTGGTTGCTTTATTAAAAAAACAACCATTGATTCTGGTTGTTAAAAAATGAACAACTTAGCCGTATATAAGGTTTGTAAAGAAAATTTGTATTTATTCCAGTCATTGTTCAAAAAGTATATGAAACATTTTATGTACACATAAAATACTTAAAGTTATTAACTTTGCTTGCATTTCAAATTTTTCAAACAAGGTTTTCCACTTGTTAAACAATGCTGTTACAATATATTTACAACTACTTTATTGGTTCTACTTTCTCTTTAATATATTATAGCCACAATGTAACTTTTCCTGGAAACAACAGTTCTACAAAAAAAACTAAATAATATAAATCAACTGAACTACAACAAAAGGAACACTCAAAAATGTACATAATGTTTAAAGAACACATTGTGAAAAACAAAAGGATGACTGAACAAGTCCAAATGTCAGCAGAACAGATTTAAAAAGACATGTCACCAAAAAAGAACAATGTGTGACAACTGAAATGTGTGAAAGACTGGAAAACGACAAATATTCTCCTTGCATTCAGTACTGACATCCAGGGCAGTGTCCAGGTGTGCCATCAGAGTAGTAACGAGGGTTCTCTCCTCGACTTCCATTTCCAGTGAAGCCCACACAGTCTTTATATTGCCGGTTGCAGGAAGAACACGTAACAACAGCAAAAGGAATTCGGTTTTCTGCCTTGAATGACTTTGAAGATTTACCCCAATTGATCTCACCTGTAAATGAATGATCGATTTCATGTAGTTGAAATCTAATTTTACATGTTTTATGTGAAAAAAGTCAAAGGTCCTTACCATCCAGCCAAGCAAAGTGAGTCCTCTTCCTGAACACTGGGTCAGACACAATGGCTTTAAAGCACTTGCAGGTCAATGCCAAGGTGAGGTAAGCTGCATCTCCCTGTGCTAGTATCACCTCTTGGAGAACAGCTTCAAGTACATTTAAAGGCATCTGAAAATTAAAGAAAAACAGGTGCTTTGCAAGACTGTCACCAGAAGAATGGCTATGAAGCATATGATTATGAATGAATCTTACCTGCAAAATTGGTGGTATCTTTTGTACCTGCATGGTGAAAAGCATAAAACAATAATTAACACTTTATATCTCTCAGTGTCTTATCCTTTTCATCTCTACTGTCATAAAAAATGCTGTGCAAAAAATATTTTCTTGTTAAAAAATTAATTTATGGTTTCAGTGTCAATTGCACATAAATAAATACAAATCAAAATTAATAGTTATGTGTACATTTTAACAATTAACCTCAATTTGTCCCATGGTTGCTTTTGCATAGGTGTGGTCTTCAGCACACAGAGTCTGTAAAAATATAGATATTTTCAAAGTGAAAGATGAGCCCAAGTCCAAATAACATCAAAACTGCTTCAACCTTTTTAACTGCCCTTTCCTCATTTTGTTTCAGATTTAAAAAATTAAGCATAGCATATTAACTAATTAGATTTACTCATTTACTCTGTAACTTTTGATAAACATGTACATATGTTTTGATAGATATATGGACTATTTTGTCATATGTTATACTCTTATTTGAGTAGATTTTGTTGATATGCAACCTAATACAGAATACTTCACAGAATACTTCACAGAATGAAGAACATATTTTAACCCATAAAGAAACACGGCACACAGATACATGTTGTTTGTAAGGTTTCTTCTAACCTTAATTTGTTGACTTATATTAAGATTTTTAATTTTTGTTTTTAAAATACCTAACAGTGCACATAACTTCATTTTTATTCATGTCTGCAGAAATAAATGAGTAATATTACATTGCACATTATGATCAGTAAAACCGTACTTAATAGTAGACATTTCACCAAATACTCTTACTAGTGTTTTTTGCAGTTATTTACTACTAAAAATATATTTAAGTAGAGGGTACTACACCCACCTATGATGGTAGCTTTTAGTTTATAAAAAGTATTAAGACTTTCCAGAAATGTTGGTGTACAAAAACATATTTCAAAAAGGATTAACCTTTTTCTAGTGGTTGTTTTAATGATAAAAAAACCACACTAGAAAACTGTTAAGAATGTAAATAAATAAATGCATAAATAAATAAATTATAGTGTAAGTGTAGTTTTACATACCGTTATGCTGAACCGTAGCAGTTCTTGTTATATGGTTCACTACCTTAAACGACTCATCGGCACTGTATGAGCATATCTATCATTCATGCAATACGAAAGAATCTTCTCTCCATTCCGAAGGTTGCAAATAGAAACGTGGATCTGTTAAAGAAAATAAAAAACAAAGTTTGAGCATAAAATACACTTCTCAATTATACATTTTATCTACTTTTCTATTTTTATGTAATGGTGCCCTGCAGGGAAATAATTAGCTATGCTACATGCTAAATTTAACCTTACCCTCTATGAATTACGAATTTCAATAGTTTACGGCTGTTTATTATATGTTCAACCTCATCTAGAAAAGCGTATTGATTTACTATGTGAAAAAAGTTTTAAAAAGGTAAAAATACCTTTTGCTGACTTTGTGCCTTTTCCATTTTGGATTGTGTGCCGAACACGTGGAACAATGAAATAACCTCTCAAACTTCTTTCAATAGACAGCTCAACCCCACTTCTTTAAGGTGTTTATACTAGCAATTAGGAAAATAGCGCCCCCTTCACTTCTGGAGTGCAATAGTCCCATTTCCAAATAAGGTATGGGACTGACAGTGGTCCGTCCCCGCCCCTTTCTGTTTGCTGCAGCGAGGACCTTCTCCAGCAACGGGCCGACCCGCTCCACAAGGCGTCGAGCCGAGCCGAGCCGGCCGAGTAGAGCCGGTGGAAAAGGGGCAGTATTGTCTATGCACGCGCCCCTCTCTTCTTCTCTTTGCTGCTGTCGCAAACTGCGCATGCGAGTGGGCTGAGTTTTGTAACACGGAAGTAACATGAGTAATTTCCATGTCTAAAAGTCCTAAATTGTGTGGTGCCCAAGGCAGAAAGAGAAGAGAAAGAGGGGGAAAACATGACAAAAACAGAGGTACAGTAAAACTAACATGATGAAATTACCTGTTCACTTAGTTACTTAGCCGACTGTAATGTAGCAGCGAGACTAGCTAGCCAAACACGGAGCTAATCAGTAGCCTAGCCAATTTTTCTTGATTTCTGACAAGTCAAACTCCACATTTTTACCCATTATGAGTTTTTCCTTGTGGTACACCTTGGTAATGATAGACTTCTTTATAAGCTGTGTTTGACTGAAACAGCTGACATTTATTTGTACTGAGAAGGAGAATTACCTACTCTATGGGTTATTTGGGTTGTTACCAACACTTAGCGAAAATTTCATGTCAGTAACACCTGTGGAAATCTGCCTACTATTCCGTACTTATTTTATCCACTGTATGTGGAGAAAGTGCAATCCTAGAGACAGAATAACAAGGATGGACAAAGTGTTTCCTTCAGAAATGCATCTTTATTTAACTTGTGTACATATAAGTCTTTTAATTAAAAATATATAGTAAAATATGTATTCATTTTGTTACCTTCACCAACATTTGGTACCATAATCAGTATCACCTGTTGACATGTTTATATACATCAGCCAGTAAAGTCTTCATAATTTAGGAACAGCTAACAACACCACCATTACAGTAAATAATAAAATGATTTAATATAAAAAGAAGTCAGATTAATTAGAACATTTTAACATGCACCAGTAAAATAGGCTTCAAAGGTAACCAGACCGTGAAACCCCAAAGCTGTTACGCATAATGACATATGCTGATAAAAATCACGCAAACCTGCTTTGTTACTCTTAAAAAAGTATTTTTTTCCCCTCATGTGTAGTCCAGTAAAACACATGTTATGGTCTTTTCATGTAACAGAGTAGAATTCCAGCAGTCCTGTGAGTAAATCATTTTATATCACTAAATAGAACATTTGGCTTCAATTCTCTTTTAGTTTCAGAATCACAAAGAGTTGTACATTTGGAATACAGACTTGAATGTTGCTGTTTCTTTAAATAATGTTGAGTCACTACAAAATTAATCCTACCAAACTAAGAAAAACTGTACATGGTAAATTCCATTTCTGAGCTTAGTGGTTTTTATTCAGAAAGCGACAGACATCGATAGGGATGTTATGGCTTTATTCATGCCTGGTGGACATCAGTTGCTTCACACTGCTGTGAAACCCAGCAAACACATGGTGACCAGCAGAACTATAAAGGAGACAAAAAAAGAAATAAAATGTTTTTTTTGTTTTTTTTTTATACCAGGAGCCATCAAATGTACAGAACAACTGATAAAAACTGTTCTGCTCATAGACTTGAGAACACATTTAATGGAGGAGTTTTGACATCTGGGCATATAGTCATGAGAAAAAAAAATAGAAACTCTATGAAATATTTAATTTCACAAAGAGAAAGACAAAAAATGTAACCATTTTTTCCTAATTAAGCAAAAAAAAGTCTTAAAACCCCTTTAAGTTAAGACACAGTATCCCCTATTTTAGTCTTTTGTGAGATATTTCTTGCAGCCATTCACCAGTCTCTGACATTGGTCTACAACATTCATCTCTATCAGCTCTGAGATGTTTAACAAGGTTTTTATTATCTTTTATTATCTTTCAATACACCCAGTACGGTTCTGTTTCATCAATTAATAATATCTCTGGCAGACTTAGATTTAAAACTAGTTTCATTCAACTAAATAGTTTCATTCTAAGAAAAAATTAGGCAAACATCTTTCAGAAAACAAGCTAATGTGATATCCATTTTGAAAAAAAAAATTGGCATAGCCTAAAGAAATGGCAGATTTATACACTTCTTTATGTTTATTATCATTACAGCAATCAAGTCCCTCTTTTGACTGGTAGTCAGCTTTCTGCAAGTTCCCATTTAGCATGGCCATTGCCTTCCTATGCAATTCCGCTCGCATCACAGTCTGGGCTTTCTTTGAATTAGTTGGATTCCTCCTGCAGAATTTCTACCTGGCCAGTCAGCAAACAGAAGGTAAAGTTGTGAACAACTGTACTGTTTTATAATTGTAGTCTGCCCGTAATTTCAGCAATGGCAGCGGAGGAAATGAACAAAGTCCATGTCGGCCATGCTTCTGAATATCGAATTAGCATTAACAGCTGCGTCAGTTGACTCAGCACCTCTCTGTTGGCAGCCCAGGATGGCTGTTTACAGCTCAGGCACTTTCCAGTAAGCTTCATCGTGTTGAACTTGCTCATCATTACATATGTAACAGCCAAACTTTAGCAATTGAGTAAAATTTAAAACTTCAACTAAAGTTCTCAATAGCTGAGAGCCCAGATACGGGCTATAACAGTTTGGGATTTTTCATTATAGTTTACTTTTATTTCATTAGGACTTTTTGCTTGTCTAATTCAGTTAGTTTTAATTAGTTAATTAGTATGTTTGCTAATTTTTATTGGCTATCATTGTAGTTTCAGTTTTTTTTCATACTTTATTTTTAGGTGGATGATTCTAAAACGTAAAAGTATTGTATTTTGATTATGTATACATTGAGTGGATAATGAAAACTCAGCAGAATGCACCATTTCCAACAAATGTATGCAATTATTGTTAAACAACTAACAGGCTCTGGTGTTTTCCCCCAACTTTTGCTGTTGCCATTTTGCGGGCTAGCCTAAGTAATGCCAGGAGAAGTATGGAGTGCCACAATTTGCCAAAGCTGATGTAAACTGTTTATGTGGCATCCAGCTTCTATGCATCACAAATCTGGGACAAATTTACTGAAAATTGTAAAACTGCCGAAACACTGAGTTCCTTTAAATCTAGTCCAAAATCCACCTGTTTAGAGTTGCTTTTGAACCATATTAAATGAAACTCTAACCAACATTTTGATATGTAACAATGGCATTTGGAAAATGTAATGTTTCCATTGTTGAATTTTGTGTTTTCATGATGTGAAGCACTTTGAAGTGCCTTGTTTCTGAAATGTGCTGTACAAATAAAATTTGATTAATTGTGTGGGGAAAAAAATATTTCACATCAGTTCAAAAGGCTAAGAAATAGATTAATAAATACGAAAACAAAGGATATTAGGCAGGTAATATCTGTGATATAAACACACTCTACTTTGGTGTTACCTCTGGCATTCACAATTGGGCATCCCTACTTCCGATGGCTTTAGTATCATGAGCTTACCTGACCAGAATGACTGTGTGTGTATGACCGGATCAGCAGAGGAAATGCTGGTAAACTTTGAGAGGTCTGTGAGAGGCGTCAGTAGCCTGAAGCTTGGCTTTCCCAGCACTCCAGTTTCTGGGTATGCAAAATCACAAAAAGATTTTTCAGTGTGATATCTAAGGTTACGCCAAATACTATCTGATCTGAGCAACAGTGAAAATATGGAAGTGCTTAAAGTGATTCCTTACCAATATTGTAAGTTCCATTTAAAATAGAAAGGGCAACACCTGCTGCTTTGTTACTTGTGTCAGGTAGAACAGCTGTAAAAGTACACTGAATTTTGGTTGAGTTGACTGATCCTTTCTGATCCTTGTAGTCCATCTGAATAGAGAACTGAATTTACTAACAATAAAACCATGACATCTATGTAAACCATGAGTTGCTGTAATTGATAAGTATGTCCCAATACCTACTAATCCTATAAAAGCTTAACTCACCGTTGTCTCATTTAGTTCACCATTATTATCATAGTTCAGAAGAATGGCAGTAAAGAAACGGACTGTGTTGTTGTGGTTCGCACAGATGTAGACTGTGTAGCTGCCATTCTGTTTAAAAATATAACGTATATTTTTCAGCTCTTAAAACTGAAACTTTAACAATGCATTAGTTTAGATTTCACTAGATTACACTACCTTTGTTGCAGTAGTTGATAGACCAGCAGCAATGTAGCCCTCTGCCTGTCCTGAGAGCTCAAAGTATGTCTGGTTGCTTTGTTGCTTGGCAGAAAGGAAATAACAGTCTGCAGAAGTGGGATCACACTCTGAGGGTTCAGCTGCACAGAACTTTGAGGAGCCACATTCTTGCAGAGAAATAATATCCTGCATGGGTGGAGACATCTATTTTAAATACTTTTTAAAAATCCTCCAATAAATGTCAGAATTGATCATTTAGTTATGTTCTTGATCTTTAATAAGCTATTATTTTTTTAATTTCCCATTCCTTACCTTAAATTCAGGGATGATGCCTGATATAGCTGTAGTTTTTTGGCTACCTGGTGTCATATGGGAGCTGGTGCTCGATGATCCATGTATCATAGTGCTGCTTCTAGATGATCCTGGTGTCACGGTGGTACTGCTGCTAGATGATCCTGGTGTCACGGTGGTACTGCTGCTAGATGATCCTGGTGTCACGGTGGTACTGCTGTCTGACTGAGCTATAAATTCCCAGGACAGCATCGCCAACAGAACACTAAAGATGAGTTGTTTATCCATGCCTTTAGGAAAGAGTAAGATGATAGCAGATTTTTTTTTTTTTGCAAAAATATAAAAATTTTTTCAAAATAGTGGTTGTTCTTGTACCTGTAGATTTTGTTGCTTTTAATGCCAAAGATAATAACTTAGAGTATCTCGTATTTGTTATGTTCAATTTCCAAAGGTTACTTGCAGGTGGATTGTTCCCGATGTCCTCTGATTCTCAGGTGCATATGTGGCACCTGTTTACTCTTTGCCGCTGTTTAATCTCTAATGGGAGGGGGAAGACAAGACAACTAACATTGAGGGGAGTGATAGAAACTGGTATAGGTGTGGCATGTTACTTAGTGTGCTTATTTTCCAAAAGGCCTCCCAAAACACATATTAGCTTTTTTAAATGTCATATTAGTTGTGTTGATGCATTTTGAGATTCTTCACCCCTGAGGTATTTTTCTATCGCAACACATAAATTTGTTGTGAGAGTGAAGAACTTTAACGCTCTTCACTCTCGGAGCGTTAAAGTTCCACATGACATTGTAAGCCTTCGCAGTGTGAAGGAAAGTGGGAGATGTGCTGCACACTGGCTTCTGCAGACTGCGAATATGAGATACTGGTGATGAGTTTTTGTGATCAGTGATCACCGATATCACACACTTTTTCATGGAAATTGGTCAATTATAAACAGTGGCCTATCTATCAGCACACCACTTATAGGTGGGATCCTGTTAAAGTTGTCATGCTGGAATTTATAGCACCAGAGACAACAGAGAGGATTGACAACACCTGACTGAATTGTTTGGATGGACCTATGCACCACAAATTTGGAACAAACTTCCAGAAAACTGTAAAACAGCTGAAACACTGGGTGCCTTTAAACTTAAAACCCACCTGTTTGAAGTTGCTTATTGCTAAATTAGGGTTAGAGTGTGGGTTTTGGTGTCTTCAATGTTTTAATTTTTTTATCTTTACTTTTTATCTATTTATTAATTTCTTTTTATTCCTCTTTCTAACGATGTAAAAGTGGCGAGTGATTGAGGGTCGTTGCGCGCACAGAAAAACCCTGTAAATTCTAGACTCTTAACAGGTAATAATAGTGCACAAAATCCGTGTGGGACGGCGAAGTCCTAGCGTAAAAATTTGCGTGACATGTGAACGGAACCTGGTGCTGCAAGGTTGGAGACCTTGTCCTGTTAGGCGACGGGGCAATACCCATTAAACGGACGGCAGAGTCTGGCGACGACAGGCGCTTAAATTCCGTAACAAAAGTATGTTTTTATCTTTTTTAATCCTTTTTTTTTTCAAAATCTCTTTCTCTTTCTTACTGTTTATTCAATGTCACATGCTGTTTTTATTTTTTCTTTAATTATGTAAAGCACCTTGCTGCTGAAATGTGCTATACAAATAAAATTTGATTGATTGATTGATTGATTGATTGATTGATTGATTGATTGATTGATTGATTGATTGATTGATGTGCAAATACTGCTGGCAATTAGTACTTTTTTCTTAACTGTCTATGATAAAATAGTTTCATGAGATTTTTTTTCTTTTGCCCTGGCTGGAACATTTTAACATTTTAGATCTGGCATTTGATGACAAATGATCTCAGAGCAGATAAAAAAAAATTACTTTAAGTACTAAGACTTTGATTTATGTCTAAATAGTAAACAATTAATAATCACTAATCGGGGCAACACAAGGGAAACAACGGTTGGGGTCTTAGGCATCTGGAAGCAGCAAGTTGCAGACTGTCCAACAGGATGCAGGAAGACAAAACATAAAGGGAACAATGTCTCTAATTGGCATTGGTTGTGGTGAAAAACATCTGTGTGCAGAATGGGTGGGAAGTTTTGCAGACTCAGGTCCAAATGAACAAGATGTTTGAACACCAAACCTGTAGTTTGATGTTCAATGTAGTGAAAGACATTGAACACCAAACTCCACATCAGAAAGAAGAAATGCAAGAAACTTTAAAAATATCAGAAGTTCAACAAGGACAGAGACATTACAGAAAATCGTTCTCTCATTGGTGCCAGAGGTCATTGGAGCTGTGCTCACCAAACTTAGATAGTATCTCCATTAAATTCCACAAACAACTTTTCAGATCTCTGCCCAGAAGAGTGGAGTCTTTGCAAGACCTAAGAAACTTCATTAAAAAAAATCCCAAACTCTGGCAGGGATTTTGAGTCTAAATGGAAGCATCCCAGGGTAAAGGGCAAGTTCACTGTTTAGTAATTCCTTTCACTCCTAAGAGACACCTGATGTGTGTTGGACAATAAGCCAGGCCGAGTTTAAATATGTCCCGTTGCCCCAGGTAGTATGTGAAAATTCAACAGAACTGGAAAATGTTTAAAGAAAATGCAGTGTTAAAAACAGAATGAAACTTGCACCAAGTGATTCCTTAAGAAAGACATCTTTATTTAAATCTTGTGCAAATAAGTTGACATATATATATATATATATATATATATATATATATATATATATATATATATATATAAATTTGTGGAAATGTTTAAATTACCTAAAATACCTTCACCAACAATTGGTACCACATTTAGCTTCCACTTGTATCAACAAGCCCATTCACATCAGTAAAGACTTCATAATTTAGGAACGGCTAATAACACCACAATTACAACATAGAATAAAATAACATGAGGTCAAAAGAAGTCAGATTAGAAGTTTTCAACATGCACCAGTAAAATGGGCTTCAAAGGTAACCAGATCTTTGAACCCAGATGCTGTTATGCATGCTGACATGCTGGTGAAAATCTTTGCAACTTGAAACTCTTGAAAAAGTCTGCTTTTTTTTTCTTGTGTAGTGGTGGAGCTCAGTTGCTTCATACTGCTGTGAAAGCCAGCATTGACACAGTGACCAGCAGAACTATAGAGAAGAAGAAAAAAGAAATTAATTTTTTTGATATTTTTTACATCAATAGCTAGCAGGTTTAGAAAACTACTAAAAAAATATGTCCTGCACAAAGCCTTGGAAACACAACTCATCAAGAGGATTTGACACCTTGGCATACAGTCACTAGAAATAATTAGGACACTCAACGACATATTCAGTTTCAGAAAGTAGAGTGATTTATTTACAGTTAAACATAAAGAGAAACCATGTTTTATTCAGTCAAGAGATTCTTAAAATGTGAATGTTAGGTCACCATGTCTTCCATTTGATGGTCTTTGGTGAGATGCTTCTTGTAACCATTCACCGGTCTCTGGCATCGGTCTGAGACCGGTTTGTTTCCCTTCTCTATCAGCTGTGAGATGTTTAAAGAGGCTCTATTGTCTTCAGCCCAATTCAAGTCACCACCCTGATCATGTTGCAGGGTCCAGTTCTGCTTCATCAGTTAGTTATACTCCTGGCAGACATAGATTTAAACTATTTTTTCCACTAAGTAGTTTGTCTCTAATAAGAAATTTGGCAAGCATCTTTCAGAATATAAACTCATGTAAAAAAGTCTCCATATCCTATTTTTATGTCCATTTTAATTTCAGTTAACTTTATTAGGTAATAAGTGCAGTAGAATTAATTATTTAGTATCTTTTTAAGTGATATATTGTTTTTGTCTGGAGAATTGCACATAAATTTATTTGTCCAATGTTGCAGTGACAATAAAAATTCTATTCTGTCGACAAAACATATCAATCTGCCTAGTTCATACAATGCTAAGTCAACTGGACTATTACCATTTTTTTCCATGTTACCACTGGCATTTTGCCAGTTCACCTTAGTTCATGAGCTTTGAGGTTTTTGAGTTTGGAGAGCCTCTTCCTCATCACCCTAATCTTTAGCTCTGTCTTGATTGATTTAAATCAGGCATCTGGACCTCTGTATACCAAATACTTTTAGAAGTCCCATATCAAACTATAAACAGCCTTACTTTAACGTGTCATCTGACACATCAAAGCCCTACTTTCCACTGCCATTAGCTTACCTGGCAAGAATGACTGTGTGTGTGTGACCGGGTAAGCAGACGAAGTGCTGTCAGTGCTGTTGCTCAGCAAATTGGTGGCGTTGGCGGTAGGGTCGGAGAGGTTTACGACAGGCGTTTGTATTCTCGAGTTTGCTGGTCCTGGCTGCCCAGAACCTAAGAAAATATGCAAGAAGATTTCCAGCTTTAATACCAATGATTTACCAAATACTCTCTGAGTTGCAGGAAAATCAAGTGCTGAGAGTGATTCCTTACTGGCATTGTAAGGTCCAATTGTAATAGACATGGAGTAGCCTGCTGCTCGTGTAAATGGGTCAGGTAGAACAGCTGAAAATGTACATTGGATTTTGCCTGAGTTTACTGATCCCCGCTCATTGCTTGAGTCCAGCGTCTGAAGAGAGAAATAGCTTAATTAACTGAAAGTAAAACAATGATGTCCATGCAAACATTTTGTTGCACAAATTGATAAATATATCCCTACTGCTACTAAGCCTACAAAAGCTTAACTCACCTCTGTCAGATTTAAAACCAGATTTTTGATGAAGCCAGTGAAGAAACGGACAGCACCGTTGTGGTTAGCGCAGACATAGGCTCTATGACTGACAGTCTGTTGAAAAAAATAACATTATTTTATTTTCCATCTTTTCGAACTATATTAGTGCTCTGGCTTAGATCTCATAATATTTTAATATAGAACCATGAAAGATGCATTACCTGAATTGCAGCATTTGACAGACCAGCAGCAATGTAGCCCGTTGTCTGTCCTGAGAGCTCAAAGTTGTACTTTTGGCCACTTTGTTGCTTGGCAGAAAGGAAATAGCAGTCTCCAGAAGCGGGATCGCACTTTGTGGGTTCAGCTGCACAGAGCTTTGAGGAGCCACATTCTTGTCGAGAAATACTGGCCTACAAAGGTGAAGACATACATTTTAAATATTGCACTGTGATAATCTTGCAATAAACCTCATATGTGAGCACTTTCTTTTTTTCAAGGAGGTTACTTCTGTTTCTTACCACTGGCGGGAGTGTGTTTGGTGCTATTGTGGTTGCCTTGTTAGCTGGTGCTGCTGTGGTTCCATTGTTAGCTGGTGCTGCTGTGGTTTCATTGTTAGCTGGTGCTGCTGTGGTTCCATTGTTACCTGGTGCTGCTGTGGTTG